AGTCAGTGAACAATAAAATTAAAGAAAAAATTCACAGACTTTGTTTTATTCACGATTTGATGCGGTTAATTTGTGGAGTTTCAATACACATATGGGTTTTTACTATAGCAGCAGCTTGCTGTAACCATTACGTTTGATTAGCGAATAGTCGACCACTTTTCTAAACATTCATAGCATCGTTGTGGCTTGTGGCATATCATCCCATGGAGAGGCGATACCAGGCGTACAGAGGCGACAGAAGGAAATAAAACAGGCAAAGGGCAGCAGCATCTTCCCGACAACAACTCAGAATATCAAAATGCGGTTGAAAAATAGCCTTCGAAGCATGGTATATATGGCAAACGTATATACGTCCCACTCCTGGGCACAGGAGTGCCCTAAAACCTGAGAGGGTTTTAGAGAGTGTTTTAGGGCAAGGAATTGTCCACCGCATGCCCCAATGCGTGTTGCCGAACATCACATGTCTTTGAAATATTTTTTTTGCTTATTTCTCAGACATGCAGGTTTCCTCACGATGTATTCCTTCAACGCCGAGCACGTGGTAAATCAGCAATTAAAATTGCAATTAACAATTCATTGGTTGCGGCGAGGATCGAACCCGGTTTGCTCGTGTACTATGAAATTTACAGCCAGCGCTAACCGTCTGAGCTACAACGGCTCTGAACATCCTCTCTATGAGGTAACCTATATTGGAAGCCAACCAACGGTTTTTACCTATAGGTAAGGCAATCTTTCTGTGCCCAGGAGAGCATTGAGCAAGAGATTCTCTTCCTCGCCATTACGCAGCATCTGATTACTGACACAATAGCAGATAATAGTCAGGGTAACTACCTCTCACCTATTTCTGACGCCAAACAGAAGTGCTTGCACCTTCTGTCTTCCCTTCTGAAGGGTAACGGGAGCCTGAATAATCTATCAGTAAATTACAAGCTGTGAGGCATTCCATCCATTAGTCATCAGAGATGACATCGCATCTCTATCCTTCTTTGTTTAAACTAGAAGGCTGCCCACGGGCTGCAGTATACACTTACCATTAAGTCGACTGTTAGTTTGTTTGTCACTTCAATTGGATATAAAAGAATATTTTACGTGGCAAAGCCATGCTGCAGCGAATTATGTGCACACAGAGTACCGGAACACGAATGCGTTGGTTCGATCGAGGAAGGAACATTCTCGTACAAAACACCGGCGCGTAATAGCAACGTGACGCTGCCGAGCTTCGTATGGTAAGAGACGACCCAGAAACTCATACATTTCACTGGTAGTGATGCACCCCAAGTTAGGCACGGTTTAGATTTTGAGAAGTGACAAGTGCGAGCGGCAACTGCGACTTACAAATGACAAGTGCTTAGTGCGTATTTTATTCACACTTATCGCTTCTCACAGCCTATTCACACACCACTCGCATTTGTCACCTCTCAAAATGTAAACCGGGCCTTAGTTCTAAGGGATGACAAAGTATCGGAATTTTGATTTCTAATAAAGTATAGATGTATATATTTAAAGGTAATAACATCCACTTACTATAAAGCGTACTGTGTGCTCGATAGTCAACTTTTCTTTTATAAACATACTCTATATAATGTGCTATTGAAATATTATGCAAAGACAACTTTAACGTTCTGTTTGCTATTGCAAAATGATGAATGCATTGCATGCTCGTAATTTTAAAGGCACCATCCTTTCTCGTGCACAATTAAAGATTTATTATAAAATAACCCTTCACAGCGTAATGGATATCTTCACGTAGTGTTGCGCAAGGGGCACGGCACATCAAGTAATATTTCATTCTCGCTGTGTACAGTAAATCAGATTACTAAATTGAGTCAAACCGCTCACTAAGCAGTGGCATAAATAAACACTAGAACGTTAGAAATGATGCACGAATTCTGCACTAACAATGAGGTACTTACTGTTTTGTTTTACATGTGACATTTCATTGTGAAATAAAGTTAAAATATTTGCTTAGGAATATTATATTTAATTTAATTTTGTAATTAAAGACTTAACTAGCTAAAATTCAAATCATAAAAATGTTAACACTATAATCATGATTTCACGATGCTGTGTAAAATACGAGTACCGGTAGTGATCGTTGGCGATAGGTATTATTTCATAACTGCGTTTAGTTTTTTATTTATAATAAAAAGGTTAAAATAAGGCATCGGTTTATAAAGTAAATACTCATACATTTACACAAAGCAGCGAAACCAAACGTCAAACTCTAAAACGAAACCTACCGCGAATCCCGCCAGAGTTAACACACGGGGTGCAGCGTCAAAGTTGTAAACGTTGCGTATTGCGATGTACAAGTGTGCTGAGTTTTTTTTATAAAATAAGGGTGGCAAACTTATGATAAGTGGATGCTGTGAACCATAGACATCTACATTTATTTCCGATTAAGAATTTAAAAAAAAGATGCGTCGTCACCCGTGAGTGCTAAGATGGAATGCCTCGTTTCCAGTAAAAAGGGTCTCCGGTTATCTACACTCACCACACGAAAACCAGCAGCTATATAAGCTGATAATTTACGTTGGTATTATTGCAAAACAGTCCATTTGTTATAAACTGAAGTGACACACGAAACTTTAGCCTGCAGCCAACATCAAACAAATTTTTTTAAATATAATAAGGGTGACAATCGAGCACACAGTCCACCTGATGGTAAATAGATATTGTGGCCCATAGTCATCTACATTTATATTCAATTAAGAATCAAAACACAGATGTGTCGTCACCCCTGAAAACTAAGATGGAATGCCTCGTTTCCAGTAACACATTTTTGCGTGGTAGAACCATGCTGCAGTTATATTAGTAGTATAGTTGTAGCACGGACGGCTTGACCGCGGCAGGACCACGCTTTCACGGAATACCAGCGTAAAATAGTAGCTTAATGCTGCTGTGTTTTGTATGGTGAGTGTTGAGAACCGGAGACCCTTTTTACTGGAAACGAGGCATTCCATCTTAGTCCACACGGGTGACAACGCATCTGCATTTTAATTCGTGGTCGAGGTTAGATGTAGATATCTATGGCCACAGCAACCACTTACTATCAGGTGGACTGTGTGCTCGTTTGTCATCCTATCCTATTAAAAAAAACACAGTCTACAAATGCGTTTTCACCTCTGAGGACTAAAATAGAATGTCTCATAGCTTGTGATTATAATAGCTCTGTACACCCCTCAGACGCGGGCACAGCAATGCAGGTACTGCTATTTGATGGTAAAAATAGGTTTGAGGGTGGTAATTACCCAGACGGGCTGCTGGACAGAAAAGTAGTTCTACCACAGCTAGTCAAATTTGAGGAAGCTAATTTAAGTACACCTTTAGCTTGTTTAGAGGTAAATATACTTTATCACGATATATTGGGTCCTTACATATGAAATTAGCGTTTTATCGTACTGACCACTTTGATCTGAAATATCTCCAAATTCAAATTTATAAATTCCTTTAGCTGGTACATTTGAGTCTTAAAAACAGTCATTCATTTGTTTTTACCTCATTATTTTTTTCTCTGGCATCGTTTATTACCGCACTATGGAAAACATGAAATATCGGTATACTTACGAGTACGAGTTCTACTATGGCACCAGTGATGATGCTGGTGTCGCAAAAGAAGGCACGGTACGTATTTGGTTTCAAAGTTTTCGTTCTGAAAATTTCGACCCTCAGAACTAACCCCATGTACGGCCGGAGACAAAAGTGGAAAATGAAAAGAAAATGAGAATTAAAGACTATTGTGAAAGTGGATCCATCACAAAACATTTCAGAGATAGCAGCAGGCTTCGGAGTAAGTATTAATCCACTTGAAGCAAATCAGGAAAGGAAAAAAACGTGAAAGATGGGTACCTCACGAATTGAGTGAATCGAACTTGCAAACACGCGTCAACTGCTGTGTTACTTTGCTCAAACGACACAAAAATTAAGGGACTTTAAATTTAATCATTACTTGTGATGAAAAGTGGATACTGTACGATAGTCGCAATTGCTGAACCCGGGAGACCCAGCCAAATCCTGCTCTAAACGAAAATTGACTCAGAAAAAGTTACTTGTAAGTGCTTGGTGGACTAGCGCCGGTGTCGTTCACTACAGCTTTCTAAAATCTGGCCAAACGATTACGGCAGATATCTTTTGTCAGCAACTGCAAACCATGAAGGAAGAACTAGCTGCTAAACAACCGAGATTGGTCAATCGTTTTAGGCCACTGCTGCTTCACGACAACGCAAGACCACACACTGCACAACAAACAACCAATAAGTTAGATGAGCTACAATTGGAATGAAACTCAGCTCCGATGCGGCAGTTCAAACCGCCTTCAAAGAGTTTATTGATTCTCGCCCCCTTGGATTTATTAGTAAAAGGATCAATGAACTACCTATGAGATAGCAAAGTGCATAGATAACAATGGTGCATACTTTGAGTAATTAAATATAATTTACAAAAAAAATTATTCCTCCCGTATAAAACACCAATTTCATTTGTAAGCACCTATTATATATATATATATATATATATATATATATATATATATATATATATATATATATATATATATATATATATATATATGGTAAAGGTTGGCTAAATGGTGATATATAGCAATATGGCGATAATTTTGCTTTCAACGGTCTTTATAATGCCCAGCGCGAGTTTTGCGTTCATTCAATGAACTGAAGGCGAGTATGTTCATCTCTCTTTCATTTGGCCGCTGGTCGCTGTCCTCACCGGACGCGGTTTATTTGTTTCGCGCCAAAATATGCGAAAAAATGGAGGATAATCGGTACGTAAATATCACCAAATTACCAAAAACATTACATAGCTTATTTTTATTTTATTTCAAGCTTAATTTGAATGGGGTTTTCAGGGTAGATGAAGCTCGAAATGTTGTATCTTTCTGTTAAAAAAAATATCGGGTTGTGTTTCATTAGTCCGGGTTATAGTCTTACGTATTGGATGATTTTTCTTACAGGAACAAGTCCGGAAAGGCAAATAAAAGGAAAATGAAGGGCGAGAAACGCAGAAATTATGACTCTTCACGCTTCAAGGAGGCTTATATGAAAGTTATAAAGGATAATTGGTCAGTGTACAAGGCGTCGAAGGAATATGGCATACCGTGGTCTACTTTGAGAAGACACATAGCTACTCATGGAGGTGAAAGTTTCGACTTACCTAAACTTGGGAGACCATTCACATTAGACAGCGACCTTGAATGTAAGTTTGTTTCCTACATAATTAAAATGCAAGAACTAGGATTTGGTCTCAGCGTCACAGACATCAAAGCTTCAAAGCTAAATGTTACGCTTTAGCAGTCCAAGCAGGAAAAGATCACCAGTTTAACGATGCTAAACGTAAAGCTGGGCCTTATTGGTGGTGGTCGTTTAAAGAACGGTACGGGCTTTCATTGCGCACGCCAGAAAAGCTTGCAGCATGCCGAGCTGTTACTGCTAACAGACAAAACATTGACGATTTTTATAAAAAGCTACTGGACGTCGTTATTGAGCTGGATATTCTGCAAAAGCCTGAAAGGATTTATAACTGCGACCAAACCGGTGTAACGTTCGTCGTAAAACCGTCACAAATTGTCACTCAAACTGGAAAGAAGGTAATTTAGAACTCTTGCAGAGAAAGGTGTCACACAAACGGTGCTTGGGTGCTGTAGTGCGAGCGGAGCGTCTGTACCCCCCTTGATCATTTTTAAAGGTGTCCGAATGGTCAATGATCTAGCGAATGGTGCTCCGGAAGGGTCTATCGTGAGATTATCCAAAAACGGATGGATTAACTCTGAACTATTTCTGGAGTGGATGCATCATTTTGAAGCTCATATTCCACCAGCTAGACCGGTACTTTTAATCATGGATTCTCACTCTACCCATGTCAGCCAAGATGTTATAGATTTCGCTACGCTAAGTCACACAAGCCATCTCCTGCAACCTCTGGACGTTTCTGTTTACAAGTCACTGAAAAATGCATGGGCTAAAGTGCTAAATGATTATAAGCTTCAACATCCAACGAGTGCCCCAACAAGGCTTGAATTTTGTCGCCTAATAACACCAGCCTACGAGCATGCATTTCAGCCGTCAATAATTATGAACAGCTTTCGAAAAACTGGCATTGCGCCATTTGATCGAAATGCCATTTCTGATGAAAGTATTGCCCCATCATTGATGCAGCCAAGTGACCTACAGTCACAGAATATTGAATCTTCCACTGATAATGCCCAAGCTTCTGCTGTCAATCGTGAAACTGCGTCACCTTCAGTTTTCTCTTTACTTTCCGTTCCTGAGGTACCACAGTCTTCTTCTTCTAGTACCCGACGAGCTAAGCGGAATCCACAGGCCCGATATTTAACACCTCAAAGCACGAACAACATGGACAGTCCTGAAGAAAACATCGTCGCCATATCAAACGAAACCACAGTCGCCGTTACCAGTGAGGAGACCGTTACCTCGATTCGTGTCCCCTCTGCTTCTCCAACTCCTGGACCTTCAACTGAAAGCAACCTGAAGCGTAAACTACCAAGAGTCAAGGTAGAGAAAACACCAAAATCAAATAAAAGTACGATGTGTGACTATTGCGGTGTTCACTACTCCCAAGATGTGGCACTTAGGAACGGAGCTGTATGGGTAGAGTGCATGAGCTGCGCCAAATGGTACCACCAAGAATGTACTGGCACAGAGTCGCCACAGTTCCTGTGTGATAAAGTAGACTTTTCAGGCACTGATGACAGTGATGGGCACAGGGCACCTGAATAGACTTGTCACTATATTGCCACATATGGTATCACCAAATTGCCCCCGTATCTCCATATTGCCAACACCTAAAAGATTTGTTTGATCTGATTTTCCTATTAATGTTTAAGAATTTAAGTTGCTGTGATTAATAATTATTGAAAAGAAAAGTCTGATTATTGTAATAAGTAAAGAGATTTTCTAATAAATGTTAATTTTGAAATAAAATTTTAAGTTTTTTTCTTATTATCACCATAAAGCCAACCTTTACCCTATATATATATATATATATATAATGGTTGTAGCACGAATGGGTCGGCTGAGGACCGCGTTCTCACAGAATACTAGCCTAAATAAGATATAAGATAATATAAGAACCTCGTTAGCTCAGGAATTAACATACGCGAAAAACCCGTGTTCGAATCCCGCCGAGACCGATGAAATTGATAATTGCAATTATTTTTGCTGACCACGTGCTAGGCAGTGAAGGAAAACATCGTGAAGAGTCCTGCGTGTCTGAGAAATAAAATATGTAGATATGTTCATAATTGTTGAATAAAACTATTATTTACGGATTTTATCGCGTTTAATTACTTTAATTTATTTTTATTATTATCCCGACGTTTCGGGTGCTTTACAGCGCCCATGGTCACGGGGGGGACTGAGATGTTTGACGTCCCAATGTCATAGTTAGTCCGGCTACCTTCAGTTTTTTAATATTAATTTTTTTTGGTCCGATTTACGCAAAACGAGCTTATAGTATCATGAAGTCTTGCAGTGGTATGCTTGGGTTTGGGTTTAATTTTGTTGATTATAGGATCCCAAGCAGATGGTAGCACCCAACCATCTTCTCTATTGAAATTTGGATGTTTTTTTAATTTCAATAGCCTCGCGTATCATCCTTGGTAGGAATCGGTGTTCTTTTGCGAGAATTTGTGGTTTATCAAATCTAATGTAATGGTGGGGACGATCTTGAACATGTTCGCAGACTGCAGACTTCCCGGAGCGTCGGTGCTTCACATCAGCTATATGTTCCTTCACGCGGGTTTTTATAGATCTCTTTGTTTGACCTATGTAAGAGAGACCACATTCACAATCTAGCTTGTACACACCTGCATCTTGTAGAGGAATATTACATTTGATGGATGGTAAAAATTGACTAATCTTCTTCAGCGGCTTGTAGTATGTCTTAATGGACGCTCGCTTCAAGATGTAGCCAATCTTGTCCGTGACTCCTCCAACATATGGTAGTAGAGCAGGTGCGCGCTCGACTGTTGCCGGCTTCACTCGTTCACTGTGACGTAGGCGCGGGACCCGAAGCTTGTTGTCTTGCAATACTTGCTTGACGTGCTGAAGCTCCGCAACCAGATGTTTTCTGTCACAGATCCCTCGTGCTCTCTGAAACAAAGATTTACCCACGGTAGCTAACTGTGAAGGATGATGGTGAGATTCACCATTTAGATATCGGTTGGTATGGGTCTTTTTCCTATACACTGTGTGACCAATAGTGTTATCAGGATTTCGGATGACTAAAACATCTAGGAAAGCTAAAGAATTATTTGCCTCCAACTCCATTGTGAATTGTATTTTAGAGTTTATGGAGTTAAGGTGGTCTAAAAATGCAGTTACTTTGTCAGATGGTAAAATTGTGAAAGTGTCGTCTACGTACCGCTTGTAGAACCTTGGCTTTACAGGAGCAGTAAGAAGGGCTTTCTCCTCAAAGTCCTCCATGAATATGTCGGCGACTATGGGAGACACAGGTGAGCCCATCGCCACACCATCTACTTGCTTGTAGAACTCCTCCTTCCACAATAGATAGCCAGATGTGAGGCAATGCCAAGGTTCTACAAGCGGTACGTAGACGACACTTTCACAATTTTACCATCTGACAAAGTAACTGCATTTTTAGACCACCTTAACTCCATAAACTCTAAAATACAATTCACAATGGAGTTGGAGGCAAATAATTCTTTAGCTTTCCTAGATGTTTTAGTCATCCGAAATCCTGATAACACTATTGGTCACACAGTGTATAGGAAAAAGACCCATACCAACCGATATCTAAATGGTGAATCTCACCATCATCCTTCACAGTTAGCTACCGTGGGTAAATCTTTGTTTCAGAGAGCACGAGGGATCTGTGACAGAAAACATCTGGTCGCGGAGCTTCAGCACGTCAAGCAAGTATTGCAAGACAACAAGCTTCGGGTCCCGCGCCTACGTCACAGTGAACGAGTGAAGCCGGCAACAGTCGAGCGCGCACCTGCTCTACTACCATATGTTGGAGGAGTCACGGACAAGATTGGCTACATCTTGAAGCGAGCGTCCATTAAGACATACTACAAGCCGCTGAAGAAGATTAGTCAATTTTTACCATCCATCAAATGTAATATTCCTCTACAAGATGCATGTGTGTACAAGCTAGATTGTGAATGTGGTCTCTCTTACATAGGTCAAACAAAGAGATCTATAAAAACCCGCGTGAAGGAACATATAGCTGATGTGAAGCACCGACGCTCCGGGAAGTCTGCAGTCTGCGAACATGTTCAAGATCGTCCCCACCATTACATTAGATTTGATAAACCACAAATTCTCGCAAAAGAACACCGATTCCTACCAAGGATGATACGCGAGGCTATTGAAATTAAAAAACATCCAAATTTCAATAGAGAAGATGGTTGGGTGCTACCATCTGCTTGGGATCCTATAATCAACAAAATTAAACCCAAACCCAAGCATACCACTGCAAGACTTCATGATACTATAAGCTCGTTTTGCGTAAATCGGACCAAAAAAATTAATATTAAAAAACTGAAGGTAGCCGGACTAACTATGACATTGGGACGTCAAACATCTCAGTCCCCCCCGTGACCATGGGCGCTGTAAAGCACCCGAAACGTCGGGATAATAATAAAAATAAATTAAAGTAATTAAACGCGATAAAATCCGTAAATAATAGTTTTATTCAATGTGTAATGCTCGCGTAAATTTAAGAAATCATTATGTTCATAATTGCTTTAAATAAGTCTACTTTAAATAAAAAGTTTTGACTTTCATTTTGATAAGATATTTTGAAGACATGTAAAGTAAAATCAAACACGCATAAGAGCAGTGCGATAAATTGCTCCATACCCGTTTCAGAAATGAGAGGAAGCCTACGGTAAAACGTATTTAGGTTGTAACTTATTGATGTGAAGGCTGCATTTCTAAAATGTTTTTATACATGATTGAACAATTAAATTCATCGCGAAGTCAAACTGGACTTTTGCTGGTTCTTCCCAGGACAAGTTTTCAATGTAAAGTAATGACTAAGAAAGGCAGCAATTGTTTTGGAATCTATTTTTTTACGGAAGAGGAGGTAATCGAGTCACCAACCACCAACAACTTCAACACCAGTGGAATTGCAGGTGCATTGATTGCCGGCCTTTTAGAAAGGAGTAAAATCTTTTTTTTATATAGAATAAGGGTGATAAACGAGCAACACAATTCCCCTGATGGTAAGTGGATGTTGTATATATATATATATATATATATATATATATATATATATATATATATATAACATAGGAACATAGGAACACAAGCCGCCGACGTACCGGACGGGAGTAGCCAATAGAAATACACAGGCGTTCTCCTGTGCCGAAGTATAAGTCCAAATATAACACAGCGGTCCTTATGCATACAATGAAAGTAGTTGCAACCGCAATGCTCACTAAATTTACTAGACCAGATTTAGTTGCGCGACTGAATCGACGTTCTACAAAAATGCTAAATTATTTAGGTTTTGCTGCAGAAAGAGATCAGTCACGTCAAATTTAGAAAAAGATGACGTTAATTTTTTTATATATAATATATGTATATATATATATATAATATGTAAGTA